TCCCAGCAGGTCTCCCCTTCCTCCTCCTTCTCCTTGTCCAAGCTTCCTCTCACTTTAAGATTTCCCAGAGATTTACCCCTGCACCCCTTCAGCCCCACTCTGCGTCATCAGAGCTGCCTCACCTTCCCACACCTGCACACACAAGCTGGCTGGCCCTGGTGGTCCCAGAGGCCATCAGCCCCTCCAAAGCTGCAGCATGGCCAGGATTGTGCTTGTCCAGAGCAGGCTGTTCTCTCCCTGTGCTGCTTTCTGGTCACATCTAGGGGCCCACAGCCAGTCTGTAAGAACAAGTAGGAGCAGCATGGCACACACAGAGGTCTCAAGCCCTGCATTTTCCTGCCATCCATTCCTAGTTTGTCATCCTTGGACATCACAGAATCTCAGAGAAGCTGCATGACTGTCCAGGACACAGGCCTTGGAAGTTGCTTATCACAAGGCAGAAGGGGCTGGAGGAGGGCATATGCCAGGAGGAAAGGGGGGAACAGAGCCAGCAAGTTATGGGCTGAGCGCTGAGGTGCTGCAAAGGAGCTCAGATGGAGAGGGCAACAGGAGAGCCAGCTCCATTGTCCTAGGGCTGTGGGGTGCTGCTCCTGCACAAGGGAAGGGAAACAAAGCAGGCAAAGTGCAGGCAGCATGAGGGCTGGACAGGAGGATATGCAGTGTAAGAGATGGAGGGATGGCAAGAGGGACGGAGAGACAGAGAGACAGAAGGATGGAGGGAAGGGAGGATGGAGAGGAAGAGGTATGGATGCTTCCCCAGTCCCCTGCACAAAGCACATCCTGGAGCATCATGTAATCTGCTGAAAGAAGGGACCTGCCTGAGTGCTCTGGCCTGGGCAGGGGAGTTCCAAGGGGTATTCCCAAAGTGCACTGCACCAGGTACTTCCCCATCACCTTTTGTACGCTGGTTCTGGGGAGCAACCACCTTCATTCCAGCTCTGACAGCATCTCACATCCCTTCCTGGTCTCTGCAGAGTGTGGGGCTGCTGAACAGTGCTGGAGATGGGACCGAAGCTTGGAGGTGACAGGTCCCATGATCAACTGATGCTGCATTCCCAGCTGGGAGTCTATAGTACTGACAAGAACAGATGCAGTGCTCTCAGAAAGCTCAGCTTTTTGCCCTGAGCTTTGATGGTCCCATCAGGACCAAAGCACCCTCCACCAGCCTCACATCCCTGCCTACACCCATTCCTGCTCAGCAGGGCCAGGTCCTGTCCTTGGCCCCCCAGTTCCCCAGGCCTCAACAGGTGCTTAGTCTTGTGCTTGAGGGCTTTGCTGGTGTGATGCAGAGGAAAGGGTGGAGCAAAAGGCTCACCTGGCTCCTCTTGAGCCCCAGGACATTGCTGGGACATGAGGAAACAGGTTCCCCCCCTGCCTGCCCCCACTGTGAGCACTGGGACACAGCAGCTGCTCTCCTCCCCAGGTCAGCAGGAGTGAGATACACTTGGAAGTGATTGTGAAAGGATGAAAGTTCTTCTCTGATTTGCCTTGGCATTTATTTTGTGCACAGGATCCTAACAAACAAACATCTGTGCTCCTGAAGCCTGGAAGGAAGGGTCCCTTCCCCAGGGAAGGAACTTCTGGTGGGAAGGTGTCCTGCTTTCACCAGGGGATCTCTGGTGGGTCCAGGCTGAGGACAGCACACGCCTGGATGTAATCCCTGGGGTGGCCCGAGAAAGAAAGGGGTGCTGAGGACCTGCTGAGGACACCTGAGCCAGGAAGCTGCCTGAAACTGGAGGCTGTTCCTCTGCCCTATCTCTGCCTGCTCAGTGGGGGTTCAGACAGTCTGTTCCAGGATGTAAAGGGAAAACTCAAGACAGGAGCCAGATCTTATGTGTGAGGAAGTGCAGAGGGTGGGAGCAATGGCTTCTATGTTAGGGACCATTGTGTGTCATGCCCACAAACCTGCTGGTGTGTTCTGCCCAACCCTGACACCACAGCTCTCATCACCAGTCTGCACCTCTGCCTCCTTTGGTAGAGGGTTGCTAAAGGGTGTCCTGACACCATTCCCAAACTCGTGTGGGACACTGCACATCACTGGCTGGGTGCTGGGCGAACCAGGAGGGCAGCAGCTATGGAGAAAGTGATGAGTGCTGGGTGATGCTGTGCCAGGAACCTCTCTGTGCTCTCAGGCCCTTGCCAGAGGGACAGAGGCTCTGCACCCTCACCTCTTGCCAAAATGTGTGGGCAAGGATGTTGGAGGGCAGATGCTGGCTCTGTACCAGGGTCCATACCTGCACACAGGCTAAGCCCACTCAGCAGCAGAGCTGGGGGCAGGAGAACAGCCAGCAACCTCAGGACTGCTGAAGAAACCTCAATGGTGATGCCACACCGCAGCACCCAGGGGAACCAGCACAGCCTCAGGGCTCACCCCCAGACTGCAAGTCATGTCCCAAAGGAAGTGCATTTTCCTCTCTGGTGCAAACAGGAACCATGACACGAGCAGAGAAGGTGGCCCCTGTTGGTGCTGCTGGGCTGATGGGGAGATGCCCAGTGCCTGCCTGGTGGAGAGTGGTTTGGCACCTGCCAGGCAGCTGTTTATGGCTCAAACAGCAGCCTGGGTGGGCTGTGGTGGCTGGGGATAGTGGGAGCCTGCAAGGGTACTGCCTGCCACCCCCACCCCCAGCACCCACGCTGAGGCCTCTAGCCCCAGAATGGGCACCCAAACTAGGGAGACACCAAGCATCTCCATGACTGGGGAGAGGCTGCATTGGGGCAGATCACATTTGCTGTGAGCCTGGGCTTTTCTAGGGCACCCTCCTGTCCCCAAGGAACCAGCAGGGAGACACAGGGATAACCTGCAAGGCTACTGCACAGCTCCCAGATGAAAGATACCCTGCCCACTGGGACTCCATGAGGGTAAAGGGTGCCCAAGAACTAAACGGATGGTGCCAAGGAGGTGGTCAAAAACTCTGTGTCAAACCTGGGAGTGCTCGTGGGCTGAGGCTGGGAGTGCTTGGTGGCCTTGTTGAGGGAAGGCAGAACCACATCCACAACTTCTCCAACTTCTCTACAGGCACTGGCCCTGCAGCACTGCTCTCCTGGCACTGGGCTGGAGGAACCCAAAAGGGGGCTGGCACATGGCATGTGCATGGCCATTCTCCATGCCCCACACACAGAGTCACACCCCAGCATATGCCACTCATGCTCACACTCCTGTGCACACTGACAGGCACCCACATGGCCCACACCATCAGGAATGCCTTCCTGCACAACCACAACTCGTGCCAGCACCCCCAGTCCCCCTGTGAACACCCTGATACCTCTGTGAACCTCCAGCACCTCCTGCACATCCCAAACCACAGGGACACTTGTCCCCACTCCTCCTCCATGCTACTATGCACAGCCTTCTCCCCATGTTTGCTCACTCCATGCCCCATGGATTTCCTGTCTGCTGGTACACTCACTCCCTACACACCCCACACCCTGCACTCTCTCCATCCCCATTAACACTTCCCCCTGCCCTCAAACCCTGCCTATTCACCCCATGCCTCGATCACATTCAATCCGCACTGTCCACACTTGACCACATCACACACACTCGCTTTACACCCCGTGCACACTCGCCCCACACCCAGGGCACGCAGGCACTGGGACTGAGAACAGTCCTCAACACTCCACACACGCTCACGCTCACCATTCACACTTTCCCTGTGCTCCATGCACACTCCCCCATGCCCTGCACCCTTATGCCATACCCAGTGCCCGCTCACACCCCATGCCCGATGCACTCAGCCCACACTGCACACATATCACATCCCTGCAGCCTCGCCCCTGCCATGCACACTCACCTGTACACTGCTTTCTCACCGTGCACAAGGGTCCCCTGCTCATACAAGCTGTGCACACTCCCCCTTGTCCCACACACACTGAACCAAGCCGCGCACGATCACCCCACACCCTGTGCCCTCACCCACACTTGGTGTACTCTCACGCTGAGCACATTCACTGCACACCTCGTGTATGCTCACCCCACGCCATGCACATTCACTCCGTGCACACTCTGCTTCCATGTGCACACCACCAAACCCCACGCCCACAGCACCTTTCCCCCATGCCCTGAGCACACTCCTCCCAGCAGCGTTCAGTCCCCCAGGTCCCCACGAATTCGGTGCCACAGCATGCACGCTCACCTGCCGCCCCACGCACAGTCCCGCACACCGTGCACACAACAAGCCCGCGGGCCAGGTACACGCAGCTCTCCCCGCGCTCCGGATCCACGCCGCACACGCTCACCCCACACCACGAGCACTTACCCCGCACCCTCCGCACCCTCCTCCGCGCTGAGCATTCCCACCACACACACTTCTCCGCGCTCCGCACGCTTACCTCACACACCGTGCCCGTTCACCCACGCTGTGCCCACCCCACGCCGCTTTCCCCCCGGCCCCGCGCCCACTCTCCCGCCGCCCGTGCCCGCTCGCCCCCCCCGCCGCCCGCTCCCTCTCCGGTAGGCTGCGTGCGACACGCCGGCTCCCCGCCCCGCTGCCACCCTCTGCCCCGTCCTTCCCCCGCGGGCTCCTGTCTGGACGTGTCGGGACTCGGGCTCCGGGCGCTGAGTAATGCTCGGCGCAGCGCGATCCCAGGCAGAGCCGCTGCCGCCGCCGCTCCGCGCCCAGCGCTCCCGGGGCGCTCCGGCCGCGACCCTGCACGCTCCGCCGGAGGCCCGGCGACACCGGCGGCGGGGGGCGGCGGGGGGGCCGCGGCTCCCCATGTGCCTGCGGGCCCCGCGGGAGCCGCGGAGCCGCTCGCCCGGCGAGCCCTGCCCACGCCCGCCGCGGCCCCGGAGCCCCGGGGCGCCCTGGGGAGCGGCGGGGGAGCGCACCCCGCGGGCCGAGGGCCCCCCCGGCCCCCCGGCACGTCCCGCCATGGGGGGCTGAGCCGGGGGGCTGCGCGCGGCGGGGCGGCGGCGGGCAGGGCGGGGGGCGCGCAGCCCTCGCCGGGCTCGGAGGGCGCCGGGGCGGCGGGAGGCGGGGGGCGCATCCCGGGAGGATGGCAGAGCCGCCCCGGCGAGCCGAGCCCCGGCGCGCAGGGAGCCAGTGAGAGGGAGGAGAGGGGAAAACACAAACAAGCAAACAACCCACAACAAACAAAGCGGGCAGAGAGCAGCGCCGAGCCCCGCCGCCCCTGCCCCAAAGGCGCCCGCCCGCCCGCAGCCCGCACAGCCGCTGCCCCAGCGAAGATGCGCCCGGCCCTGGCCCACGGACTCTGCTCGCTGCTGCTCAGCCTCTGGGTACCCAGGTAGGAGCTGCACCCCTCCATCCCCAGCCCCGCCGCTGAGAGCCCCGGCCGCACGGGGAGGGCGCCGGGATCCGCCGCGCCCAGCCCCGCACCGGGGGCGGTCTGCCCGGGGGGCTCCGGGGGGGTCCCGCCGCCCCAGCCCGGCCCCGCACGCTTGCGGCCCCCGTTCCAGGGGCTGTCAGGGCTGCTGCCCCCCTCCGCCTTCTCTCGTCCCGACGGAACGCCGGTGGGATGCGCAGCTTCTCCCGCTCCAGGAGGCTGTCCCCCTTCCTCCCCGGCCAGAGACGCTCCAGCGCCCGCCCCGACTGCCTCAGTTTCCCCGCTCGCCCGCGGAGGACGGGGGAATGCCGGCTGGGATGTCACTGTCGTGGGGGTCGGTGCCTCCTGGATCCCCCTGCGTCCTCTCCCTGGCTCCGCCTGTCCTAAATGCTAGAGGGGTAAGAGGGGGCCGCCTGCTTTCCAGAAAGCGAACCCCCAAATTCACCGTCCCTGTCCGTCTTCGCCTTCCCTCTGCCCGCTCCCAAACTTGTGCACTGCAGGCAGCCGGGGGTTAATCCTGGTGCTGGTACGAGTCGGGGGGGGGGGTCCCCCGCCCTTCCCCCTCCCTCCAGCCCCTTTAAATATAATTTGTTAACGTTGGGACTTGTATTAATTAAAGCAGCAGCCGCTGCAGCCTGTGACCTGGGGGCCTGTCACCGTGAAATCAAGTTTAAATCCAGATTTAAAGGGGGAAGAGAGCTGGGGGGAGCGCTGTATCCTCCTAAGAAGTGTGACAGTGACAGCTTCTTGCCGATCCCTGGTCCTCCTGAGCCCTGGGTGGAGCGAGAGGTAGAAGGACCTTCCCTCTACTCTCCGAAGCCCCTGCCTCAGTTTCCCTGCAGTGCAATCGGGAGAAAGACCGTAGCATCGCCCCCATCCCGGGATGCCCTGGGAAAAGATGGCAGGCGCTGTGTCAGGCTCAGGACATGAAGGGAACAAAGTCATTGCAGTGTTTGGGGCAGGAGCTCCTGGGGTTGGAGATGGTGGTGGCTGTGTCCTGCTCTGCATCTTTTGTCAGCCAGGGCTTGCTTGACAGTGGGAGTGAGTGCAGGAAGCTGGGAAGAAGATTTCCCCTCCTGTGTAGGGGTTTTGGAGGGATGTACTCCCTTTGTCTCTCTTCTCCGTTCCACCTCGACTCTCCCTATTGGAGTCACTGTGGATTTGTACTGGGGCATATTCATATACTACCCATGGAAGTGGTGGGATGGCTATAAACACCCTTGGGAAGCTGGAGAAAGCAGCCTGATCCTGACAGCTCTCCCTCTGCCCTGAGCAAGCTGTAATTCAGCAGAGACACTGGGGCTGAACCTTCCCTCCAGAGCTGGGTGAGTGCTGAGCTGGGGACCTCATCCCCTGGCAGCTGCTTCTGTCCGTGTACCTGCACCAGGCTTGCAGGGTTTGAGGGAACAGAGGGGGAGTAACCCATCTCCCCAAGACCTGGCAGCTGCAGTCCTTCCTGCAGCATCCTCCTCCAAGTCTTGTTTCTGTAATCAAAGTTCAAAGGGCTTTGAGCTCCTTGCTTCTCCCAGGGACCCAGCTCTTGCCTGTCCCGGGGAACAGGGAGAGACTTTCCTGGGGAGAGCTCCCAGCAGGGATCAAGCTCTCCTGAACAAGTGGGGTGGTGCTGAGCTCCTAGTGGACCATGCTGCAAGATGCTGGATGCTGTTGGACGTCCCACTGTCTGCTGCTTGCTTTGTGGGTCTTCCACTTGGGCACTGTTTATCCAAGAGTCCTTCAAGACATTCCCTGGAGTTGGGCAAATACTTCCTACTGTCTCCTTCTCCAGATTTGTCTGTCATGTGTACCTCTGTATTAGCTCCAGGCATCTCTTTCTGGACATGCTTTGTCTCCCCACATCCCACATCCCACATCCCACCTCCACACACTCCACACTTCCCAATTTCCCCAGGTCACATCTCTGTTTGTGTAAGTACCTGTACCCCTGCCATGGACCATGTGCTTCTCCTTGCACCCATCCATGTGCTGCTCTCTGTGCTTCTGTGGCCACAGGTGTCTGGTTCAGTGGGGCTAGGATGTGACAGTGGACTTGGGATTGCTGCTGGGAGCTTGAGGAAAGTTGGCACAGTGCTTGGCTCCATAGTTCACAGCTGAGCTGGAAAGAAAACGCTGATCCTTCCCTTTACCTCCCTTGTAAGGACCAGCAGTGTTGGGGGGATGCAGGAGATGCAGGGAGGGGATCAGCCAGCAGCACTGGCTGGAATGGTCCTCCTGCTCTAGGGTCTCTCAGTTCTCCCAGGGGGAAGCCCATGCTTTCTGTGGAAGGCAGGTTGGGGCATTGTGTGCTGAGAGTCTGCAGTGCATGGCTGGTGTGGGAGATCCCTGGTGGAGCACACAGAGAGAGCAAGCCTGGGAGATGCTGGGCTCCATGGGCAGGATGGCCAGATTTAACTGCTGCTGGCAGAGGCTGCCAGGGTGCCTGTACTGTACTTATGCTGTTGGAGGCGATTGCAGCCCCAGTGCTGCTGGTTTTCTCTGCCTGGATAAGCTGAGCTGAGTTTTTCCAGCCTTCCCTATAGGCGATGGGCACCGTGTGGGTTGAGGAGCCTCTCCCTTCCCTGTATGTGTCCCCCACAGACTTTTCCCCTTCCCCAAATGGAAAACCAAGTGGTTGACACATTGCTTGCTCTGGGCTCAAGGGTGTCCTTTCCCTCCCAGCTCGTGCTCCAATGAGATCCTGGGCCTGAAGCTGCCCTCAGAGCCGGTGCTGAATGCCAACACGGTGTGCCTGACGCTGCCGGGGCTGACACGGCGGCAGCTGGAGGTGTGCGTGCGCCACCCCGACGTCACCGCCTCCGCCATCCAGGGCATCCAGATCGCCATCCATGAGTGCCAGCACCAGTTCCGGGACCAGCGCTGGAACTGCTCCAGCCTTGAGACCAAGAACAAGATTCCATATGAGAGCATCATCTTCAGCAGAGGTAAGGGTTGGACGGTTCTCTTCCTGTCCCGCTATCCAGCCCCTGCTCTCTGGAGCCCTCATGGGCTCCCCCTGCACCCCTGCACAGCTCTTCCCTGGCCCAGGGGAGGATGAGGTGAGCTCCTCAGCACCCCCATGGATGAAGGCAGACAGATGTTATGGTCTGCCAAAGGAGCACTGCACTATGGTAAAGCTGTTCCATGCACCTTTGTACTGCACTAGCCCTTGTCCTGAGCTGCTCCTCCCTGACCAACTCCAGCTGCTCCTAAGGCTCTTTCCAGGCCCTCCTGCTTTCTGGCATCTTCTCCCTGTGTGGTGTAGGCTGGTGTTTGGAGCAGTGCCATGGGTGTGCAGCATAGTTGATGGGTCTGAAGGTGGATGCCATGCTCTGGGATTTGGTTTGGTGGATACAGTTGAACATCTTGGCTCAGTCCTGCTCTGGGGATGGTGTTTTAGTGTGTTGTGATGAGCTGAAGTGCCCCTAACTAGTGGGATGTAGCTCTGTGAAGCTGTCACCCTGGTGTTCTGCCCAGTGCAGAGGGCTAAGGGGTCGCTGTTTTGTGGGACCCTAAAGCATGATGGCAGAGGGGACAGGGATACAGGCTGTCCTGGGAGCTCACCTGCCCACAGAGCCCCCAGCTGTGCTGCTGAGAGAGCTCTCCTAGCTCCCCACATTCTGCCAAAGATCCTCGTGTCAGGATCTCCTCTCCCTCGTAGTCATGTCTGGCTCTGCCTGTATCAGAGCCTCCCTGGCTGATACTCTCTCCCTCAGGAGCAGTCTCTGGGATGCAGAGGGGTGGCCTGCATGGTGCAGATTAGGGTTGTGACCTGATGGGATCTTCTAGAGGACTTGAACGTATATTTTCACCCGAGTACCCTTCATTGAAAACTGTGCCTCAGCATATTTCTAAGTGCCCATTGCCACAGGAAGGGCATGGTCAGGAAGGACAGTGTGGTGCCAGTGGCCAGCAGCCAGGGTGCTGAGGGCAGGACGGGTGCCCAGCACACAGACCACTCCTCCAGCTGCCAAGAAAGGTGAAAACTACCCAAGAAACTGCTCACATACCCGCTTTGTGAGCCTCTCAGCCTGATGCCCAGCAGAGAGTTGCAACCATCCACTCTTCTTCAAACATCCTTCCATATCCTACATCTTCTTTCCCTGGGACTATGAGGAGAGTCTCAATGGGGAGAGGTTGGCAGCTTGAGGCTTACATGTCATTGAGGGGATGTGGTGCCAGGAGCCCACAGGCAGCAAGTGGGGAGAAGGCTGGAGAGGGGATCACAGAAGTGTTTTGGTGTCCAAGATGTCCAGGGTAGCCTGGATAGCCTCGCTGGGTGGAATGCTCCTCAGAATATGTGACATCAGGGCCGTGGTCCTGCCATGGAGCAGCTCTGGACCTTAGTGCCTGGAGAAGGGCAGCGTCTCTTCCCTCTGTGAGCAGTGCCCAGGTTAGGGCCTGGCAGGAAGGGTGGGGACTGTCAACCCTGATAAGCATCGAGGTATTTCCAGGTCCTCTGAGGAATGTGGTTCACTTCTAGTCTCCTGGGGCGGCAGGAGACACTGGCTCGAGTTGCTCACACACCCAGACAAGCTGCCTTGCTCCGGGTACCACCAGGCTGGGAGAGAAGCACCAGCAGCAGAGAGCAGTGACCTGCATCCCCCCCCTCAGCTCACCTTGTCTGCTGCTGGCCCCAGGGCCTTGCATCTCACTTGTGTCTCAGATGCTCCTGCAGCCCTCCCTGCTGTCAGGGCTGTGACTGATGGATGTGGGGGCTCCCACAGACCCTGGACTCCTGCCCTGTCTCAAGCTGTTGGATATGGCTCAGCCCAGGCACTCAGCATTGGTGGGATCCCATTCTCTGGAATGGAGACACGACATCCAGCAGCAGGGCAGGATGGAGGTAGGGCTGGAGCATCAGAGCAGGCAGGCATCTCATGGCACTCCTGTTTTGGCAGCAGGGGTTGCAGGATGAGCCCTAAGCTATCTCATGTAGTTGCTTGGAGCCATTCTGGCATGGAGCAAGCCTTGATACCAGAACCCTGGCCCAGTTTGAACCCACTCATGTCCCTGAGTAGCAGTGCTGGAGCTGTGAGCCTTGCCTTCCATCTGTTCCAGGCACAGCCATCAGAGAGGGGATGCATCTCAGCGAGTGGTAGAAGCGAGGGGTGCAGGCTCCATGGCGCAGACTTTAATGCACCTGAGCTCCAGGGAGCAGGGCTCTGCTCTGCGCCCTGCCCCATCCCTGCCGTGCCTGGGAACACAACGTGCTTGTAGGATCATTGTTTGTAACCCGAAGTGACAGACCCCTTTAATCTTTCATTCCTTTTCCCACTTCTTCTGCCATCAGCTCAGCCGTGCGTGAATCTCACTTTAAATTATTTGTAGCTGGCTTCTCCCTCCCGCTCTCCCCGCCTGGCTTCGCTCCCCGACTCTGTCCTGTCCTCCTGCATCTCTCACGTCTTCTCCAGAGTGGGCATGAGCCAGACAGGATGCTACACTGCTCCAGCGGTCCCATGGTGCCCATCTCTCAGTGCCCAGTATGCAGGCACTCAGTGCTGCCAGGGACCTCATCCCCTGGGGACAGAGAAGAGGACAATGGCAGATGGGTGTCCATCTCCCCATCCTGCTGAGCTGGTCCCAGAAGTCTGAGTGCAAGCTCTGGGTAGACAGGAAGGAGAGGCTTCCAATCAGACAGGGCTGGGAGTCTAGGGTGGCTTCAGAGCAGCACAGCTGGAGACAGGGATGCTGCCAGCATCATGGGCAGAGCACAGACCTGGGAGATGCTGCCATCCCTGGGGCATGGGAAACAGTGGCTGTGACACTCAACAGCAGGTTAGTGGAGGGCAAGGAGGGTCCCCAGAAGTTTACCATTCCTGCTCTCACAGAATCAGTGGGTTATTTGAGACACCACCATGGTCTGTGGTCTGGTCTTTTGGTGCTGCATCCTTGGGGTATGAGATGTCCTTTGTAACTTCTGTTGAGTCTCCAGTGCCATCTGCACCCCTCATCCTCCTTGGCCCATGTCCTTGTTAAGCCAGTCTCAACAGTGCTATTGCAAATCCTCCAGTCTTCCCTGGCTCCCCAGCTGGCTGCCTGTGCTCACCACCTTCCTGCCCATTCTCTGGCACTGTCACTTCTGCCAGGACTCTCCAGTGCTGTTCCTGGTCCCATCCTTCTCTGCTGTACCTCCCTCTCCCTCCATGTGCTCACCTAGCTGACAGAGACATTCTCTTCTGGCCTCAGGAGAGGTAGGGGGAAGGAGCAATGAGGTCGAGGCAGGTGGCTCCATCTACACCAACAGTGGAAATAGATCCCATGTTCCTGCTCCAAGGGTGAGCAGCATGATTGTGCCTACCCTGCTGGAGAGGACGGCCTGTTGTCCTGATGTATTGTCCCACCACAGCATCTGTGGGCTGCCAGGCACTGTGTGGCTTGGCTGGGCTGACCTGTGCCTGGTGTCTGACAAAAACCAAGCTGCAGATGGTGGTGGGTCACTGAGTCTTGGTCCTTGTCCAGTGTGTGTGCACCCATGGGTGGGTACAATGCCATCAGGGCTGGGACTCTCTGGCTGTTGGGCAGGGGCTGTCTGAGGTGTGCTGTGGGACTGACTATTCCCTTTTGCTCATGCCAACCCGAGCCCCATCTACATGGACCTCTGAAAAAAATTAGGACCCCCCCCCCATGGAGGGGCTGGATGTCCTTGAAGGCCTTCAAAGGCTCATGGTTGGAGGGGACATGACCCTGTTGTGCAGTATTTCTTGGTTCCTGCAGCCTTTGGAGAGATGGGTGATGCTGCCAGGCCCTGTGCCCACCTTAGAAGGGCTCACTGGTGACAAAGGGTCTGCATGGCCATGGCCAGATCTTGATTTCTTCCAGCAGGGAGTGGGGAACTCCCTGCAAGGCTGGAAACACCAGGTGCTGGGGCCCAGCCAGCTGTGAAACGGAGCTAGGGGAAGCTTTGCCGCGTGCTGAGGGAGGCAGGTGCTGTTTCAGCTATCCAGGGAGATGCTGCCAAGCTCAGGACCCCGGCACCCAGCTCTGCAGAGCCCCAGCCAAGCTCTGGAGCCCGCAGACCGCAGCGCCTGGCCTGGCGCACCTGCAGCTGGGCTGCTGGCAGGGATTTGTGCACCCCCGGGCAAACCAAGGGCTTTGCCCACCTGGCCCTGCAGCACATGCGGGTACTGTGGAGGCTTGGCTTCATCCCTGTGGGCTCCCCCATTCCCTGGACCTTCTCCCCACTGGTGGTGGAAGGGAGACCCTGGGGCCAGGCAGGATTGCTGGCGATGTGGGGCCGAGCTGGGCTCCCTGCAGCCTGCACGGCAGCGAGGGCTGCTCCCTCACGCTGCCGTGGGCGGACAGCAGCGAGGGCTGCAGGCTGTCCCTGGCACGCTCAAGGAGGTGCAGGGAGGCAAGTTGGGATCTGCAGGGAGGCATTTAGTGCCTGGTGCTGGGCCAGACCCTGGCAGGTTCACCTGCAGTTTAATTAGGGAGAGGGGAGGGAGCGGGGCTGGGGGAGAGGCAGCATGTCGGGACCGGCCGTCTCGGCAGGCCTCGCGGGAGGTGGCGGGAGAAGTTCTCCTCTGCCTTATATCAGGGCTGGGGCAATGTGCCCACAGCACCTGGCAGCTGCACCCCATCCTGGGGGGTATTGCCATGAAGGGGGCAGCTGAGCATCCCTGGGGTACCCTAGGGTGGGCCTGTGTGAGGCTGTCCCGTGGCTCCCTCAGTGCCAGCCAGGCATTGCAGTGAGGAGTGCTGGGAGAGAGCTGCTGCCCGCATGTGATGGTGAGCTGTGGGAGGAAGGCCGTGCCTCCAGCTGTCCCTGGTCTACAGACCGTAGAGCCCAGAGTTGTGCCTGAGCCATCTGCTTGAAGGATGGAGGAATTGCAGTGTCCATGGCAGAGGCAGTGCTGCTGTGACTTGGGGTCTTGCTAAATGACCCTCCATCTCTTAAGCACTGCTTGACAGGAAAAACTTTCCCCCCTAAGAAAGCTGCTTTGGGAGTTGACCTGGGGAAGAGATTTCAGACCTGTCCTCCTTGCCTAGCATGGTCTTTAGGTACACAGCAGGCTGGATGCTGGTGGTGGTTTCAGGATTGTGTCCTCCTTTCTCTCTTCCCTGCAGGATGCAATACTTCTTGTACCTCCCACAGCTACACCTCTTCTGTGGTCTCTGGAGGGATATGGTGACTCAAAAATCACTGCTAAGGTCTTAGGTGGCTGGGGTAGCTGGAGAGCCTCCCCACAAAGGGCTCAGGGCTGGCCACCACACACCACTCTTGGCTGTGGTTCCTGTAAGCTTCCAGCCTTGCTGAGCTCAAGAGACAGGTGTCTGTTGCAGCCATGTTGCTTGTTGCTTTGCTTCAATCCTCTGTCTCTGGTGTGGCTGGGGTAGAGCAAGGAATGTAAACTGAACCTCCTAGCAAAACTGTACTGGCATGGCTGCTGTGATCCCAGTGCTGTCCTGACCCCTCCTCCCCTTTGCTCACAGCTCCCCATGAGAGCAGGTGAGGGAAGAAGGGGAGAAGGCAGGGAAGAGTGGTGGGGCCAGGCAGAGTGATACTGAGCAGGGAAAGGACCATGATGAGATGGGAACAAGACTTCCTGAATGCTGTGATGCCATGTCTTGGGGACCAGTCTGTCCCCTGCCCACAACCTGGGGAATGGCAGCTCCAGACAAGAGGTCCTATACATCATCCATCAGCTCACATGTACTGGGAGAGCACTAGAGGAGGAAGGAGGACTAGGGCTTTAACCCATGGGTTTCCCAGCCATGGAGGGTGCCCAATCAACCTGACCTCTTTACCTGTCAGGACACAGGCTTGCTAGACGGACTGGGTGGGGTAGAGCTTGTGTCTGGTCTCAGAAGAGATTTTAAGGAGATGCGACACCGGAAATTATATTTTAGACTGGAGAAACGTGTGAGAAAGAGGCAGGGCTGAGAGGAGGGTGTTGTGCTGGTGAAGGGTTCGCTCCCCCTGTCCCCAGGCACTGGCTGTGCAAGGAGCTGGGGATGCCCAGCGGGGTGGCAGTGACGAATTGGGCTGTGCCCAGGTTTGGCATATGAAGGGCTGAAGCTGACCCAGGTAGTGGGATCAGAGAACTGACATAGGGAAGATTTGGGAATCCAGGAGACCTTTCTGTGCTGGTTCTCCATCCTCCCTTGCTCACCTGGGATTGAAGTTGCCCAGATGTGGGCCTTCATGCTCCAGCAGCGCTGTGGGTGTGTTGCAGGCACTGCCTGCCAGCACTCTCCCTGGGGAGGCTGCACGGCACAGTGTACGCACCAGCGGCCCCATTACCTGCCCGCTGAAAAATGTTGTTCAACTTGTGCATGGAAAGAGGCAGGCTGAGAGCAAGCTTGTCCCACACCGAGGGGAAGCTGGGAGAGGCTCCTGCTGGCTTTTAAGCAGTGCCTCGTTAATTTTTTAAACGCACCAGTGTCAAATTAACACACAAAAGAGCAGCACGACTTTAAATGCAGGTTTCCGGGCTGCATTTCATTTTCCTTTAATAAGATCATAGCGTTTGCTCAGCGGGCGGCAGTAACCGCGGAGGAGACATGCGTGATGGGAGCACTGCCCAGCACTGCCAGCAGCAGCACTTGCACTCTCCCTGCTCCTGGCTCTGGGGCACAGGCAGGGCTTTGGGGTGCTCACTCCAGACCCCTGTTTGATGGCGTGGATTTGGTGAAGAAAACACTCCAAAACCTGTTGTCTGTTCAGCTGTGTCAAAGGCAAACTGCTCATGTCCAACAGAGGGAGAGAGGCTGGGAACTCCAGCTATTTATTTATTCACATGTGACGCCACGGCACAAAATCTGGCACTCCCTGCATCCTTGCCTCATGCTGGGGCCAGTCAGTGTGCACCAAAGCAAAGGGCACTGCAGGCTCCCCGCCTGACCTGGGAACCACAAACAAAAATAGTACTTTGCATTTCAAATAGAATAGAAACTCCCAGGGAGGAGAGGGTCCTTACCTGGCTTCAGTGAAGCCAAGAGATTCTCAGGTGTTCCCTGCTCACAGCCACATGGAGCCCCATGAAGCCCCTTCTGTGAGACCTGTCCCTGTCCCCATCTGCCCTGTCCCCCGCTAATGACACTTGTGGATGTCCTCACTCCCTAGTGTTTAATGACAACCAGCTGCTGGCTCTGGCAGTGCACGGTATGGTCACGCCATGCTCCAACTGATGAGGGATGCTCATTTTTTTCCAGACTAATGTCACATTTAGAGCTTCTTGTGGGACCTGGCAGGGTTCAGGGTGGGAAGGGATATGGGCAGATGAATGGGGCTGGACACACAGTGCAGCCTGCTCTTTTTACTGCCTAATCTGCACCCTGTGAGTAAGCAGAAGTGGCCCATTCTTCAGCAGAAATATCTCTTGGCCAGTGTTATATTTAGTATAGTAGGAAACTCTGAGTGGAGAAGGGAGGAGGGATTGCCTTTCCCATCAGACGCTGATGCCTGAGCAGTGCTGTGGTGGCATCTCCTGGAGTGATGTGAGAGCAGGGTGGTGGTGAAAGCTGGTGTCCCAGCTAGGGCAGGGCAGCAGTGTGTCCTGGTGGGGATGGGGCTGGAGAGCAGAAAGTGGCGATTCACTCCTGGCCTGTGTGGGAGCTGGTGCATCAGGAAGAAGCAAGACACAAGCTGAACCTCCCAATCCCTGCACCCAGTGTGACGATGAACTCACCCAGCCCCGCTCGGGGGTCACAGCACCCAGCCTGACTCAGTTTCTCCTTCCTCGCAGGCTTTCGGGAGAGCGCCTTTGCCTACGCCATAGCGGCTGCCGGCGTGGTGCACGCCGTGTCCAACGCCTGTGCCCTGGGGAAGCTGCAGGCCTGTGGCTGTGACCAGAAGCGCCGGGGCGATGAGGAGGCTTTCCGGCGCAAGCTGCACCGCCTGCAGCTGGAGGCCATGAACCGCGGCAAGGGCATGGTGCATGGTGTGCACATGGAGCACATGCCCGCTGAGACCCCTGGCCTCCAGGACTCCTGGGAGTGGGGAGGCTGCAGCCCTGATGTGGACTATGGAGAGAAGTTCTCCAAGGATTTCCTTGATTCCCGGGAAACCTACAGGGATATCCACTCCCGGATGCGGCTGCACAACAACCGCGTGGGCCGTCAGGTGAGCGGGGCGCTGGTCACGGCTGTGGGGAGGGGATGGGGGGAACAGGGTCCCCAGGACATGTGTGGGAAGGCCCTGAGGGACTCGTGCTGGCTGCTGTGGAACCGTTTGTGAGTCTGGGATTGCCCCCAAGGCACCCCCTCTCCCCAGTCTTGCCCAGAACAAAGGCAGTGATGCCTTTAGCCAGACAGGGCGGCAAGGATATGCTGGCCAAGCACCTGCTGGGAGCAATACCTCTGAGCATTGCTGCTGTGGCCTTGCCAAGGGACGCTGGCCAGGCCACTGTCACCTGTCTGTGCTGCAGCGGTGCTACCGGGGTGGCACAGCAATGATTCTGGCTCCTGCCTCTCAGGTGTTGGGCAGCTGCAGAGGGGTAAGCTAAAGACAGGGAGGAGAAAATCACTGGCATCATGGGGACACAGCACAGATTCTGCAGCACCTAGATGTGTCTTTGCCTCTAGAAAGGGAGTCAGTGCCCTGAGGAGGCAGATGTGAATGAGACTGAGTTAGGCAGTGGGCTCCTATGCCAGCTGGGAAATACAGCATGCCCTTGGGAGCAGAGGTGACAGCCCACAGCCTTGTCCCCCATCTCAAGCAGTGTGCTGGAGCCTGCTCAGGCAAGCAGGACAGCCTCCCCTCCATTCTTATGATGTCAGGTCTCGTTACAGGTACTAATTAGTAGCTCACTCTGTCTGGAAGCTGAGGTTTAAAACACTGGAGACAAGAAGCACGAAGGCAGGAGGGGCTGGGAGGATGGCTGCCTTTCCCTGCCTGCTTTTGCTCACAGCAGGTGCCTGAGAGATCACATCCTTTGAATCCAACAGGACACATGTCCCCAAGACCCCAGCCACATGCTGCCAGGGCCGTGCCAAGGGATGTGTAGAGGCTGCAAGAATAAATAATTAAAGGCCAGAATTCCACAGGGAATGTTTCCTTGGGATGGCTCAGACATTTGGATGTGTCTCTTGCTTTGAGCAAGTTTGAGGCCAGCTGTGAGGTGAGGATGCTGCAGAGCAGGACTTTAATGTGTGGCTTACCCTGATGCTGGAGCTGAGGTTTACTGCCCTGGAAAAGCCACCCCAGTTTGGCCAAGCTGTAAATGCCTGGGGAATACCAAAACTTTTGATTTGTTTGGCTTTGTTTGCTTGTGTGTGGTGAAAGTTCACTCAGTGTTAGGCAGCTGAATCCTCTGCAGACTGCTCTTGCCCTATCTGGGCAAGACCCCTGTTCCAGTTCTGACTGCAGGGCTCATCCTGATTCCCCTACATCTCTCCATGCCCTGGATCTCCAGGACTCTTGGCAGTGCTCAGAAACCTGTGGTCATGTTCCCTATTTCCCAAGAGAAACCTCACAGCCTGCAGAAGGAAGGGAAGGTGAGAGAGGAATATTTGCTCTGGCAGGATGTCACGAAACATTTCCCATGGGATCCAGTAACAGTGAGAATGCCTGGGGTCTGCTTGTCCCTGAGGACAGACAGGCACGAGACTGGCAATGTCAGCTCTTGGTGGCTTCAGAAACAGGATCTGGACTGATGAAAGGAGCCTGGGAGCTAGAAGAAGAGGCAGAAAAAGACTAAAGGGATAAAGAGGGAACAGTACCTGTGCAGGTAGGGAAGCAATGCCTGGACAGGCCGCTCTGGGACCTTGTTGAGATGAAGGTGTGAGCCCATGTGTGGTGCTGTGGGTGCCGGGCACTGGAGCAAGGAGATGATGCTGTGCCTGGTCTGTGTCTGTTGGTGCTGTGCTTATTGCCAGAGCTGGCCCTGGGGATGAGTTCCCACTTGGGATGGGTTCTCCAACTCCCCACCTGCTCTTACAGCAATGCTGTGGGTCCCACACCCACCCAAGCCCCACTTACTACTAGGAGCAATTTTTCTGCTCTAATAAGGAACAATCTCCTGGGATTTCCCAGGAAAGGAATGGCTGTGCTGGTTGCAGCAGCTCTGTGCTCATCAAGCTCCAGGGGCACAAGTCCTGAGGCTGAACCTCTTTAGCAGGGCAGCGATGTGGACGTGCACGCCTCGTGCCATGCCCTGCCATGCACCCTCCCTCCCTCTCCATGCACCAAGCAGCTGCAGCACCCAGAACTCTCCAGCATCTCACAGATACTGAGCATCCTCTTTGTGGTTCCTGTGTGTCCCGAGGGTGCTGTGCCTGTGGGTGAGCCTGTCTCCTGGCTCAGACCCTACAATGCTGGAAGGAGGTGACAATTCCATGGATGGTGGCACCCAGGTGCTATCAGAGGTGGTTTCTGTAGTGTAGTGGTTATCACGTTCGCCTGACACGCGGAAGGTCCCTGGTTCGAAACCAGGCAGAAACACACTGATTTTTTCCTTTTTACACCCAGCTATGAGGCTGGGCAGGGGATTGCAACTGCAAGGGATGTGCAGCATCCTCTGATAGAGCCCTGCAGTGGTGACCTTGCTCCTGAGGAATAGGAAGCCCTGGGACAATCATTGCTTGGTCCAACTGAAGACTGAGGTGGGTGTTCTGCATCCCTGGCAGGCAGCAAGCTCCCCAGCAAGGAGCAGCAGGAGTGTGAGAGAGGCTTTGCAGGTCCTCCTAGCTCACCAGATCAGAGAGCAAGAGAGGATGAAAGGAAGCCAGGAACTACCCATTACCCTCACAACAAAGACCTACGATAAAGTTCTTATGAGCGTGCCTGGGAGGAGCTGGGAATGTGTGAAAGAAAGCACCAGCGAGTCTGGGCATGTGTCGAACCTGGGTGTCTATGAGACAGGGAAAGGACGGGTAAGGGTGCATGGAGAGAATTCAATGACAAAAGCACGGGGCCAGGACTCAGATGGGCCCTTCTTGCATGTCCCAGCTCTGTCAGGGTCCTGTCCCCTCTGTGCTGCCTGTGCAGGGGTGGACCGGTGTTGTGGTGCTAAGGCTCAGGATGTTCAGCAGTGATGGCTTGGGTGATGGAGATGGCCACACTTGACACCTTCTTCAGCCCCTGCTGTGACCAGCTGTAGGCCTAAATGAATCCCTGTCCAGCTACCACACCACTGCCATCTTCATGGTGAGCCTGCCAGCCACAGCCCTGAATGCAGATTTTCCTGGTCCAGCCAAGCCAGCAGGGTGGGAATGTGGGAAAGGGTGACAGTGCTAGACTGTTCCCAGGGATAGTGACAAGAACAGTGGTGAGCAGCTGGTGTCACACCCAGAATATGGTGGAGAGGCCAGGTAGCTCATTACCTGTGAGGTGGAGGCAGGAGCAGGACTCTGAGCAGGATGAAAGCCAAACTCCAGCCCAGACCAGACCTCTCCGCCGTGTGCCCCAAGCTCCAGGCGTGTTTCATTACCATAACTGCTTAGCAACTTGGAGATTTACTCAAAAACAAGAAAACAAGAAATAAAAACTACCCACCCCTACCTAAACAAGGCTCTCCTGTCACATGTGTCCCTCCCAGGCAGGGGGCAGGAATAGACAACATGTGGCAGGCATGAAGCCAGGTAGATGGGCAGGACTGGCATTGTAGGACAGCACCTTTCACAGGGACAGGTGTCCCCTGGAGTGCCCCACAAGCCCTGGAGCAGGGCCCTGGGTATGGGGATCAGCCTGTTGTAGTCTGCAAGCCCCATCTGAACTCCTGGTGAGGTTTGGGTGTCCGCATGGGAAGGGAACTTGGTGAAGCCTGTGTGAGCACATGGATATGGAGGGAGGGAATCCCTGTTGGGACAGAGCAGAGGACATTATAAACTGTCTCTTTCCAGGCTGTGTGGGGATGTGTGGCCATGTTGTGCCCCTCAGGATTGATGGGCATGAGCTGTTTCTCTTGGCTTGGCCACAGCAGTATCCCTTACAGGGATGGGGGATGTAGCGAATCCCAGCATGCAGTCTGGGGGGCTCAGCAGCCTTGCCAAGGGAGTCCAAGGAACCCCACACTGGCCTCTGACCCCTGCACGAGCTGTGCTTTCAGGCTTGCCCAAAGCCCATCCCATGCACCCTGGCCCTTGCAGGGGTGAATGGGTAGCACTGGCTGCAATGCAGCCTCTACAGACTGTAAGCCAGGGATGTGATCCCTGCTTGGAATTCAGAACTGTGGCCAGGTTGGCTGAAGGAGAGCAGGCAAGAGCTAAAAGCAGAGCTGCTCCTAGGACTCCCAGAACTGGGGCTTTATGGGATGAAGGCCTTGGGGTGGGGAAAGGAAGGGGAAGCATCAGTCCCACCAGCCCCACTCACAGTGCTACTGCCTGGTGAGGTGTGTGGGAGACCCTTGCACTGGGGAGGTATGGCTGCACACATGCAGCCATGCTGGCTTATAAGTCGGGTCCTGGATCAGGTTGATGCTGCTGGAACCAAGCAGCAGTGGGAGGTGAGATCCAGGCTCCTTCTCCTCCCTGTGCTCAAAGAGCTCACCCTCTCCTTTAGGTGCCAATCCCTTGATGAAACATAAAAGCCAGTTGGTATTACCAGGATGGGAAGGGACAGGGTGTGGGACATGAGTTGCACTGGGCACAGCAACAGGGCGCAGCCTTGCTGGCTTTGCAGTTCCAGAGCTTTGATGGCTACTCATGCCAGCCCTTGATGTTCCCGTGGTGCCAACCCACACAGAGCTCCATTGTGGCTTCTCCAGTCCCCAAAACGCGTCTCCTTCATGCTCACTCCTGTGTCCTTCCTTCTCCGCCCAGGTGGTGATGGACAACATGAGGAGAAAGTGCAAATGCCACGGTACCTCAGGGAGCTGCCAGCTGAAGACATGCTGGCAGGTGACGCCTGAATTTCGCCTGGTGGGGTCCCTGCTCAAGGACCGCTTCTACGGGGCCACCCTCATCCGGCCCCACAACCGGAATGCCGGGCAGCTGGAGCCGGGCCACGCTCGGCACCGCCGCCGAGCCGGCATCAGCGAGCTGGTTTACTTTGAGAAGTCACCCGACTTCTGCGAGCGAGAGCCGGCGCTGGACTCCTTGGGCACTCAAGGGCGCCTGTGCAACAAGACCAGCCCGGGCATGGACAACTGCGAGAGCCTGTGCTGCGGCCGCGGCCACAACATCCTGCGGCAGACGCGCAGCGAGCGCTGCAACTGCAAGTTCCACTGGTGCTGCTTCGTGGCGTGCGAGGAGTGCCGCATCACCGAGTGGGTCAGCGTGTGCAAGTAGCCAGGCAGGGCTGGGTGCCCACCCCAGGGTGCCAGGGACAAGCACGCCTGCCTGCGGCAGGGGAGGGAGACGGGGATTGGCGCCGGCGGGAGGTGGAGCCGCGATACCCGCTTCCCTCCGCTCCGAGGGAGCAGGAGAGGACATGCTCGGCACCCTCCAAAATCAGCACTTTGTCGTCACCTGGGAAGGGCAAGGCAGGGCTGCCCGCTGCCCCCCAACCCCACATGAGAGCACCAAGGCTCCCGGCCCCGGGGAGCCCACGGCCATGCTGTACAGACCGCCGACACCAGCACCACTCGGGGGGGCGGAGGGAGGGCCTGGGGGTGGGGGACTGCCCGCTGGCACCCAGCGGTATGGAGCAGGATGGGGTCATGGACAGCAGGGCATGGGGAGCCCAGGGTGGGAGGGAAGTGGGGGGGACACACACTAGCACTGTGCACAAGTTCCTCCAACCACGTGCGAGGTTGTGCTCGGAGCAGGATGGGGTTGGAGCACCCCGTGGGATGGAGAAGGGGCACGGCTCCCCGGGCTGGGGCTCAGCTCTTACCTCTGGGCTGGCTTGGGCTTCGCGGCCGGAGGGGCGGGTGCCCGGGGCTGTGCTGTGTGTGTCTGTGTTATTATATGGTAAGTTATTTTCTGATTGTGAATAAAAGTGGATTGGAGACAGCACACGGTATTTCAGGATGCAGCACCCTGCTCTTCCTGCTGCCAAGGGCTCTCCGTTCCTCTAGGGTGACAGAAGGTTGGAGGGCAACCCTCGGTGCTGCTGACCTACTTGTGTGAGACTTTCTCTCGGGTGCTCTCCTGCCATCCCATAATAACTGTCCTGTCAGCTGTTTGGAGACTGGCAGAAGGTGAGGACCCGTCACAGGCATCCCAGCCACTGGCAAGGTGGCTGCTGGGGAGCTTCTGCCCACTTGGATGCATGCTAGACCCCATCCATCCCATGGAATCCTGGCTGTTGCCCCCGTGCCTGTGACCATGTGGAGCTGGGAGCTGCCCCACTGTGTCCCACACTCCAGGACAGGGATGGTGGGGCTGGAGAGCAGGGAGAGGGGAAGGCAGCACGGGTGGGCCAGGCAATGGGGGTCCACAAATGGCAGCTTGCTGTGGTGGTGGGGAGGGCTGCAGCAGCCTGCAGGGGCCAGGCAGTGAATCAAGCTGCTGCTGTCTCCTGGCTGATAACTTCCCTGCTCCTCCCACGGCTGTGTACCCCTTGGGGCTACACACACACACACACAAAAAAAAAAAAAAAAAAAAAAAAAAAAAAAAAAAGTGAATTAAAAAAAAAAAAAACTAAATCAAGGAGGAAAATACCAGGCTGGAAGGGAGCGAGCAGCCCGGCTCCAGCAGGGAGTGGCCCGTGTCCTCGTTTCATAACGCTCACGCACACAGCTGGAGCTGCATCGGCCGGGACAAATGCTCTGCCCTTCACCACCCCTCTGCCCTTCACCACCCCTGCAGGGGAGAGCTGGCTATTCCCTCCAGGAGGGACCATGTGGATGGGGTCCTTGCTTCTGGAACCAGGTGAGGAGAGGAGGAGAATGCTGTAGGTGCTGGAAGGAAGCACAGGAGCTTCAGTGACCTTGCGGCACCTGCATGGCTCTGTCTGCCGGCACAGAAGGGACAGCAAGACACGAGGTCTCCGCGGTGGCTCCCAGCAGCAGAGACATTGGGCTGGTGTTCTTGCAGGGAACAGGATCTCAGCTTGGGCTTTGGGGCACCCAGGCTTGCCCTGTGAGGCATGAAAGCAATGTTGTTCCCGTGGGGCAAGTTTACTCTGACAGAGCAGTTCATTTTCCCTCCTGAGATCCTACTTTTCCATCTCCAATATCCATCTCCAGTAGCAAGGCCCTTTTTCCAGATCCCCAAGACTTTTGCCTTTTGGCCATTAGCCCAAGGACTAATTGGACCCCCTGAGGTTCCCCTCCCTCCCAGGCTGGCCAAACCTAAGGTTGTGCTACTCAGGGCAGGGGAGCTCTGCACATCCATCACGCTCCAGCCCTTGGTAGGTGCCGTTGGCTGCCCCCCTCCCAGGGGCTGCTTTGCAGATGCCTGTGATCTCAGGGCTGCCTGGGGTGATGACTGACTCACCACGGAAGCTCTCACCACTCTGCATTGTCCCTTTCACCCCTGCCTGCTAATCCCAGACCACCTGCTCTGCCACAGCAGGATCCTAGGATATGACTCCCCCATAAGAGGACCAGAGTGGGGACAAGGTGTGTTTGATGATGCCCAGAGAAGTGATGCAGGGCAGGGCCATTCTCCCAAGGATGTATCACATCCCCCAGCAAGGCACTAGGCTCTGGGTATCCTGGATCTGCAAGGACTGCAGCTTGCTCTTGCCTTCCAGCCAATTATAGGAATAGCATTGTGAAAGAGCATACCAGTGATGCCAGCACACCTTGGCTGAGACTCCCAGCGCAGTGCCCTGTGCTCTTTGGTTCTGTGGAGATACCGTGTGAGCTGGAGACTCTGGGACACTCAGAGGAAAAGATAAGATCCCTTGATGTTTGTCAGTCTGCAGGAAGCATGGCTGGGGTGCAAGTGCTGTGCTAGAAGGCTGCTTTGGGCTGCAGGCAGCACGCTCTGGGTGCAGGCAGCTCCAGGGCACAGGCATCCTGCTTGCAGCATCTCATTTTCCTCCTGGGGCCAGCTGGCTCCCAGTGCAATACCAGTCTTCAAGATCTGCTCTGTGGTTTCTCTGCTGAGTGTCTGGGAGCCACAGGCAAGGTGCCAGTGTGCCTGTGGTTACAAAAAACAGTGTCCCCATGCTTCCCTAGCTAGGAAGCAGCCACTGGGCAGCTGTTTTCACAACCACACTGCTGCACAGAGCGCGTGCAGGACACCTCCTCTCCCCACGGCCGCTGCTGAGCTTCCAGAGCCAGCTGCCAGTGAGGGCTTGGCTCCCCAAGTCTGGGCATTCCAAACTTCTCTTCCATGGACCACCCTCTCTGATGCACTGATGGGATATGTCCCAGTCCCACCAAACACCCGTGTATCCTCATACAGAGGGACTGTTTGAGCCTGCTGAGCTCCAGCCTTGCCTATGCTGGTGCATGGCCCCCTGCTGCCCCATGAAGGACAACTCCGCCTGCAGAGCCCTGCGCACAGCTCTGGGCTCAAGTGGGAAGGGTCAAGGTTCTTCACCCAAGAGCAACAATGACCGTCAGTGTAGAACAGCCCAGGTAGATGATGAAGGTGGTTTCCAGTAGAGGGGACCGGATTTCTCCAGTGTTTTCCAGTCATCTTCCTACAGAGGCAAATCACTAAGGGAATTCCAAAACTGAAAAAGGAAATGGCCATTCCTTTCATTTGCATGTCATAAAAGGGCACTGAAGGCTCTAAAGAAGACAACAAGTCCTTGCTGGCAAAACCAGGTAAAACTTATTCCAGTTTCATGAAGTATTTTGGCCCAAGCTCTAGAAATTCCTCCGTCCTTGAGGGTCCCTGCTGCCGGGGGAGCCACCAGCCCAGTGTGAAGTCCAGTGGTTTTCTCAAACTTTGAACTTCCTGGTCCCAGGGGCAGGAAAGCTTCTCAGATCCTTCCAGTAAACCGAAAGTAAATCTCACTTCTTGCCCCTGTGGTTGTGGAGAGTGATGGGAAAGCCTGACCTGAGTGTGACTGCTGAGAAGGCAATAGAGAGACCTGAGCTGGTCTGATCAGTTTGTACTTCTGCCAGGTCTGAAGCCAGATCTGTGGCTGTCCAGATGTGGATACCCCAGGCTGGTGCTCTCCCAGACCCTGGCCTTGTGCCTACCGACAGACACAGAGTGGAAGAGCCAAAGGGACAGTGGATTCTCTCCAGCATAGCAGGTTTCTGGGCCCTTTCTCCTCTCACCCAAAGCCCCAGCTCATCTCTTGCTTCTGGAAAGCTCCAGTAAGGGTGGGGAAGGTCTCTGGGGGTGGCAGGGGAGTAGTGGGGGGGCTGGGACTTTCCCCAGGAGATCACAGGAGGAACTTTGGCTGGAGGGTGGGGGGAACCGATGAGGAGTTGCTACATCATGCCCCAATGAGCCGTGAGTAACTCCTCTGGTATTTCTTCCCCTCACAGAACAGTCATCAGAGCCAGATCCTGCCTGGGGGAATCACTGCACGGGAACGCCCAGCCCCATCCAAATTCCATTCCTGCTCCCATCAGAGCTCTCAATATGAAGCAGAGCTATGAGTGGACAGTTCTGTCTCAGTGGTCACCCGGTCCCATGCCACCCACTGGGGTGACACGAGCATGGGCATGGGCATGACTGGCAGTGCTGGCTGGCCGAGCCTGGTCCGCTGCTCACCCACAAGAGCAGCCAGATGCACCTGGGCTGCTGGAGTCAGGAGAGAGCAAAGCCTCGTTGTGTCTGCTTATCCAAGGGGAGCAGAGGGCAGCCCCTCTCCTGCTTTAGTCTGGGCAACTGGCCTCCATACTTGAGAAGCAAGTAGCCACGGCTTGAGCCCCATGCTGAGAGCCTGGCTGGCACTGTTGTGTGAGCTGAGATGCAGAGAGGTGCTCCGAGCCTTTCCTGACGTTCAGCCCCAACATGTCGTGCTTGGCACCAGCACCCGTGCAAGCCCCCGAAGAAGAAAAAAGTTTGGCCCTGACTGACCTGCTTGGCAAGGCAAGGTACCTACAGCGAGGCAGCACCTGGCTTGGGATAGGAGCCCAGGAGTCCTGTGCTCCCCCCACCAGGACCAGCTCCTGCCCACCACCCCCTAGCACAGCGTTCCAATGGCATTGCCCTCCCTCATGAGGGGTGGGTCACCTACCCAGGGAGAAGGCTGCAGCCACCATTGTGTTGGGCTCATTGAGGTACCAGACAAGCTGGCAGCAGCCAGGCTCTGGGAGTGTCACCACTGGCTGGGCACACTGCAGCCTCCCTGCTCAGCCACAGCTGCACCAGCCCTGGCCATGGGGCTGCCACATGCCTGCAGAAGGGCCAACAGAGTTTGGACACAGGTGGGATGTGGAGATGGAGAGCAGAGGGAGGGTTTGGTCTGAAGGCTGTGATGGAGCCAGGGCAGCTCCAAAGGCTCTAGGAGGAGGCTGGGCAAGGGATGGGAAAGATCTGGGCTGAGAAGAGTTTGGGGTACACTGTGCCCCTTAGAAAAAAGATCTGAGCAGAGGCAGTGGGCACACTGGAGTGAGAGCAGGGGGCAAGATGCATGAGGAAGGAGGCTGATATTGTTTGGGAAGGGGGTGATGTGGAGGTCCTCCACAGCCCAGACCCCAGTGGCTGACTCAAGTGTTCTTTACTCTCTTAGTCCTAAATGTGGTCCTCTGGCCAAGAAAACACCAGGGACACCCCAGA